CCCCCCCCCAGAACAGCAAGGGGCAGGTGGCGGCCGAGGTGGTCCCGGACCCCACGGACATGGCTCTGGACCGGGCGGAGGCGGCGGAGGCGGCGCGGGAGCTGCGGCGGCTGCTGCTGGACGCGGTGCCCCTGAGCTGCTCCCTGCCCAGGGTCACCCTGCCCAACTACGACAACCTGCCCGGGACGCTCATGCTGCTCTGCCTGGGGCTGCAGCTGGGGGACAGGGTGCGCCTCGACAGCGGAAAGGTGGGCACCGACCCCCCCATGGCACCCTGTGTCACCCTGTGTCACCCTGTGCCACCCCCATGTCACCCCCGTGTCCCCCTGATGCTGCTCTGCCTGGGGCTGCAGCTGGGGGACAGGGTGCGCCTCGACAGCGGAAAGGTGGGCACGGGGTGGGCACGGGCCCCCCATGGCACCCCACAGTCCCCCATGTCACCCCTGTGTCACCCTGTGTCACCCTCTGTCACCCCCGTGTCCCCCTGATGCTGCTCTGCCTGGGGCTGCAGCTCGGGGACAGGGTGCACCTCGACAGCGGAAAGGTGGGCACCGACCCCCCCCATGGCACCCCCAGGGCAGCCCAGAGCCCCCTGTGTCACCCCTGTGTCACCCTCTGTCACCCCAGAGCCCCTGTATCACCCCAGAGCCCCCCATGCCACTCTGTGTCACCCCAGAGCCCCTCGTGTCACCCCTGTGTCACCCCATGTCACCCTGTGTCACCCTGTGTCACCCCAAAGCCCCCCATGCCACTCTGTGCCACCCCAGAGCCCCCTGTGTCACCCCATGTCACCCCAGAGCCCCCCATGGCACCCTGTGTCACCCTGTGTCACCCCAGAGCCCTCCATGGCACCCCGTGTCACCCTGTGTCACCCCATGTCATCCTGAGTCACCTTGTGTCACCCCAGAGCCCCTGTGTCACCCTGTGTCACCCCATGTCACCCCAGAGCCCCCCATGCCACCCCCATGTCACCGTGTGTCACCCCGTGTCACCTCAGAGCCCCCTGTGTGTGTCACCCCGTGTCACCCTGTGTCACTCCCGTGTCACCCCGTGTCACCCCAGAGCCCCTCGGGGCTCTCTGTGTCAGCCCATGACCCCCTGGTTTGGGGGTTCAGGGGATATTTTGGG